GCCTCCAGAAGCGGTGAATGCTCCAACACTGGAAGTTTTTAAGAAGAGACTGGACAGCCATTTGTCCGAAATGGTATAGGGTTTCCTGCCTGAGCAGGGGGTTGGACTAGATGACCTTCAAGGTCCCTTCCAACTTTACTACTATTATTATTATTATTATTATTATTATTATTATTATTATTATTATTATTATTATTATATATTATGTTATGTTATATGTTATGTTATGTTATGTTATGTTACGTTACGTTACGTTACGTTACATTACAATACAATATGATCCACTTTAATGGTTCATTAAAGTGAGAGAGAAAAATGGTGGCCACTAAATGCTTTTAAAAAATAGAACAAATAACCAACGCCCAATTAATTCCAGACTTCCTATTTATTTTTCAAATATATAACTGTCTCCCCCTACATCTTCTTTTATTTCCATATGCACAAGACTAAAAATGTATGATTTATTTCCACATACACAAAATTTAAAATCTATTTACAAAACAGAATTCCTGACTTAATGCAGAGGCCAGGGCCCCATGGTGGAGCCCAAGAAACTTAAAAAAAAAACCTTGGTCAGACATGTGCGAGCAAAACAAGAGCACTGCCAAAACTCACACTATGTTTTGTTCTTGTGCAAGACTGCATTAGATGGTACTGAGATCCCCCTTCCCCCAATATCTACAGATACAAGTTTAATTATTAAAAGTGATTTCTTTACTTTTGTTCCACCTTAGCCCTAATCAACTAATTAGCTTTATTCATGGGGGAGTCGCACAAGATCAGCTATTGGGTAGTGTGGTTATAATACCACAATGTTTTCGAAGCTCTGCTTAATACAAACCCAGTTGCAGATATCAGTAGAGGCAGTCCTCGACTTACAACAGTTCATTTAGTCACCATTTGAAGTTACAACAGTACTGAAAAAAGTGACTTACAGCCGTTTTCCATACTTACAACCGTTGCAGCATCCCCACGGTCACATGATCAAAATTCAGACGTTTGGCAACTGACTTATATTTATGACGGTTACAGTATCCTGGGATCATATCATCACCTTTTGTGACCTTCTGACAAGCAAAGTCAATGGGGAAGGCAGATTCATTTAAGAACCTTGTTACTAACTTAACAATTGCAGTAATTCACTTAACAACTGTGGCAAAAAAGGTCGTAAAATGGGGTAAAATTCACTTAACAACTTTCTTGCTTAGCAACAGAAATTTTGGGCTCAATTGTGGCCATATGTCGAGAACTACCTGTAAAACAATTTCATTGATCCTTCACATTTATTTACACCTCCTAATTATTGGGGTGTAAGTACTGGTTGGAACAATATAGAAATTCAGCTGGGAGCTTCACTGTGAGCAATGTCACATGTGGCAAAACCAGATATGACACAAATATAGGGTTATAACAATTTGTTCCTGGTGAAAATTCTCTCCTCCCCACATGCAGTTGACCAAAATGGAGGGGATATGTTTGTGATAAAGGACCATCGGTGGGAGAAGTTGGCCTTATTCCCATCTTCACCACAAAAGTCATTCCCATAAAAATTACAGAATGTGAGTATCTATGGAGATTCTCAAGTCTTTTAGATCAGAGTTCCCCAACCTTTCCGGCTTGGTGGCCCGGAACGAAAGGGAGCAGCAGGGAAATGTGTGCAGGCGGGGCTCCGCGCTACCATACATGCGCAAATGGGCTGCACGTGACCATGGCATGTGCACTGGCCATACGCAAACAGCCGCTAGTGCCCACGTGACATTGGCAGCGGTGCTGGCATCCCTGTGCATGTGCAAATGGGGACACTAGTGCCCGCGCGATGGTGCTACAAGTGGGGTGGGGCTCGCCAGCTGTTCCTGGGGCCCGGTGGCCAACAGGTTGCATCCTGCTATCTGGCCGCAGACCATAGGTTGGGGACCTGTTCTAGTTCGTGGCTGTTAAAAGATGCTTTCCAAAAAGCAACTAGACATTGTTTTTTCCTTGAAGACATTTTGCTTCTCAAGGAAGCAAACAAAGGAAGGAAGTTGTTGTTTCAAGGAAACAACAAAGAAAATCCAGTTGCCTTTTGAAAAGCATCTTTGGGACCAGAATTTGAGAAGCAGTTTGAGTGGATATGTGTGAATGGGAGAAGCCTCTAGTTGGTGGTGGTGGTGTGTGTGTGTGTGTATTTGTGTGTGTGTGTGTAGAATCTATTACTGGCTGTTCCAGCCACCCAAACCACCAAACATTTCTGATCTATTGCTATGCAGTCCATTAGTTTTTGGGCATACCTTCACGAAGGTTAAGTCACTAGTGAATGGAATTCAATATAGCACATCTATTTGTTTTAACTGTTTAACTGTTTAACTTGTTATGTAAAGCTTTTTTAGATAAAAATGCAAGAAATAAAAAAAGAATATAAAATAGCAATGTAAATATTGTTATTACTACCATACCATTAAACTAAAAATGCATTAAAATGTTTTTTTTTTAATAGAATTGGATAAATGTAATCTTGCTGGAACACTGCTGAGAAGACCTAGATGCACAGTCAGAAAATATTATAAATCCTAACAGAAAGCCAGCAAGTAGCATCCTAATGATAAACATAAACATATAGGCAGATTATTAAATATTTAAAAGATTAGAAACAACACTTTGAGCTAGGCTGGAAACTCAAGTGCAACAACTTCTATGAGGGTATAATGATTTATCCTTCTGTCCTCACAATAATAATTTTAAGTGGCCTCATTCTTCATCAATTGAAGTGTTCTAGTTATGGTTGTAGTTATATAATTCCATTGTAATAATCTAGCAAATGAAAAGGCATGACATTAATTTTTCTTAGTAAAGTTGGAACTAATGTACCAAATCAAAGTGGAATAAAAGGAACTTCTGCTAGAGCCACCATTGTGTTTCTATAGAAAACATCAAATCCAAAAAACATCCAAGCCATAAATGAGACCTTTTAGTGTCAGTGCAATCTCTTTCAATAGGGAATGTAACCAACTATCCAGAGCAACAGACTTCTCTTTATAAATGGCCTGGCGACTGGAACACACACAGATCACTTGAATTACCTCCTTCGTGATCTTCTGAAAACTAGGCACATTCTCTTTTTCAGATGCTTCGGATTCAGCTTGAAAACTACAAAATATAATGATCTTATGTCATTTTTGCAGAAACAATACTCCCATATACTATTTTGAGTATCTATGAGGCAGAGTATATTACCATCTGGGTTCAAAAAACAATTATCAGAATGTTAATGCTTATAGATGCTATATACCCATCACTCATGCCTGTTTGTGAGACAACAGACAAATGGCCCACTGGAAGGAAAAATATACAAGGAACTGATAATCTATCTGCTTGCATAAATCCTTTTTAATAAAGAAACTGCGATAAATATGAAAGATGTGGAATATTAACAGGTTCTATAGAATAACTATTACTACCTCTGAAGTTAAGAGTATTCTCAAGGGGACTAAGTCTTCTAATCATGCTAAAATCATTTCCTTGCTTGGCATTAAATACAGTGGAGTTGAAGGGACACTTAATTTGCTAGAGAATCCCAATTCTAAAGAAGACAGTGAATTGATAGCACTCAATAAACCTTTAGATTAGAATGAGAGAAATAAGTATTATTATATTTGGAGGAGATATAATTGAGGCAGAAGACATCTACTCTGTATTATTTATATCTTTGAATGAGGCTTAC